AAATGTATTGATCATTACTGGTGATTGGAATGCAATAGTTGGAAACCAAGAGGAAGGATCAGTAGTTGGAAAATATGGCCTTCGTGATAGAAATGATGCTGGAGATCACATGATAGAATTTTATAAGACCAATAAGGTGACTATACACATGGATAGGAGTCCTGGTGTGGTGCTGGGGGTTAATGCTCTGAACTGCAAACTCAGTTTAAACCACAACGTAAAGCTCATCAGCTGGTCCTCAGAAACCTTATACAGGGTCGCTATGGGTTAGAACTGACTTGATGGCATTTAGAACAACAACATACACATGAATCTCACCAGATGGAATACACAGAAATCGAATTGACTGCATCCTTGGGATGATACGGTGGAAAACTGTCTCATCAGCCAAAGTGTGGAACAGACCATCAATTACTCATATGAAAGTTTACGCTGAAGCCAAAGAAAATTAAAACAAGTCCATGAGAGCCAAAATTTGACCTGGATTAAAAGATCATCTCAAGAACAGATTTGATGAATTAGACACTAATGACTGAAGACCAGAGAGTTATGGGATGGCATCAAGAACATCCTACAGGAAGAAAGCAAAAGGTCATTAAGAAGACAAGGAAGAAGGAAATGACCAAAATTGATGTCAGAAGAGACTCTGAAACTTGCTGTCCAACACACAGATACTAAAGCAAATGGAAGAAATGAAGTACAAGAGCTGGACAGAAAATTTGAAAGGGCAGCTCAAGAAGACAAAGTCAAATATTATAATGAAATGTGCAAAGACCTGGATTTAGAAAACCAAAAGGGAAGAACACACCTGGCATTTCTCAAGCTGAAAAAGCTGAAGCAAAAACTAAAGCCTCGATTTGCAATATTGAATGATTCTGTGGGCAAAATATTGAATGATGCAGAAAACATCAAAAGAAGATGGAAGGAATACATAGTCACTGTACCAAAAAAAAAAAAAAAAGGCCAGTGTCCAACCATTTCAAGAGGTAGCATCTGATCAAGAGCTGTTGGTTCTGAAGGAAGAAGATAGGTGCACTGAAGGCACTGACAAACAATTAGGCTCCAGGAATTGATGGAATACAAACTGAAATATTTCAACAAACTGATGCAGCTCTGGAGATACTCACTCTATGTATGCTAAGAAATTTGAAAGACAGCTACCTGGCCAACTGAATGGAAGAGATTCATATTTGTTCCCATTTCAAAGAGAGGTGACCCAATACAATGCAGAAATTATTGGAAAATATCTTTAGTATTACATGCAAGTAAACTTTTGCTAGAGATAATTTAAAAACAACTGCAACAATATATTGGCAGGGAACTGTTAGAGGTTTAAGCTGAATTCAGATAAGGATTTGGAATGAGGGATATCATTACTGATATCAAATGGATCTTGACTAATAGCAGAGAATACCAGAGAGTTGTTTACCTGTGCTTTAGTGACTGTGTAAAGGCTTGACTGCATGGGTCATGACAAGCTATGGACAACATTGCGGAGAATGAGTATTCCCTTACACTTAACTGTGCTCTTGAGGAAACTGTACATAGATCAAGCGGCAGTCATTTGGACAGAATGAGGGGACGTTGTTGTTGTTGTCAGGTGCCATCGAGTTGGAACCGACTCATAGTGACCCCATGCACAGCAGAAAGAAACAATGTCCGATCCTGGGCCAACCTCACTACCGCTGCCACACTTGACGCCATCAATGATGCCACCTGGTCAATCCATCTCGTTAGGGGTCTTCCTCTTTTTCTCTGACCCTCCACCTTACCCAGCATGACATCCTTCTCCAGCGACTGTTTCCTCCAGACAATATGTCCAAAGTATGAGAGACGAAGCTTAGCCATCTTGGCCTCCAAGTAGCACTCTGTCTGCACTTCTTCCAAAACAGATCTATTGGTTCTTTTGGCAGTCCATGGCACTTTCAGCATTCTCCTCCAACACCACAACTCAAAGGCATCAATTCTTCTACGATTTTCCTTATTCACTGTCCAGCTTTCGCATCCATATGAGGTTATTGAAAATACCATGGCTTGGGTCAGGCGCACCTTAGTCCTCAAGCTGACATCTCTGCTCTTCAATACTTTAAAAAGTTCCTGTGCAGCAGATTTGCCCAATGCAACACGTCGTCTGATTCCGCAAGTTTAAAATCAGGAAAGGTGTGTGCCGGGGTTGTATTCTTTCACTCTACTTTTTCAATCTGTATACTAAGCAAATAATCTGAGAAACTGGATTATATGAAAAAGAATGTGACAGGATTAGAGGAAGACTCATTAACAACCTGAAATATGCAAATGCTACAATCTTGTTTGCTGAAAGTGAAGAGGACTTAAAATACTTACTGATGAAGATCAAAGACCACAGCCTTCAATATGGGTTGCACCTTAATGTAAAGAAACCAAAATTCTCACCACTGGTAGGCTCAAACCATGTAGTTTGTGGTTCACACTCCAGTGCTTATGCTATGGAGCCACCATGCTCCCCTTGGGATGTGTAGAATACATTAAAAAGAAAGGAAACACATGCAGTTGCATTGTAGATTAGGTTTTTTCATTATCATTGGCGAAGGAAAAGATAACTGTTTAAATAAAGTTCTTCCAAAAGTTGTTTCTACATTGTTTCTTAGATTTCCTGAATTCCTATTTGTTGATGCGGTATATACCTATTTCTTAATCATAACAAGAGTCCCTCTTTTTTTAAAAAAAAATAATAGCTTTATTGAAATGTAACTTATGTATGTTGTTGTGTGCTGTCTTTTATGAGACTTTTATGGGAGGCAAGACACAAATCCTGTGTTATTTATAGATTACATAGAGTACCTAAAATTCTCAGGGAGGTAGGATGTAACCCTTGAGGAATAGCTGCTGTACTAGTGAAGAAGTAGGCAATGAAGAAGGTAGTGCGTTTCCTCCTGCTAGAGTAACCAGAACTCTGATAGCTCCACACAGAAAACATCGCCCCCCCCCCTTTTAAAAAAATAAAACATTGTCTAAAGGAGTCCTGGTGTGGCACTGTGGGTTAATGTGCCAGAGTGCAAAGCTGTTTGAACTACAAGATCGGCGGTTCAAGCTCACCAGCTGCTCCTTGAAAACCCTATACAGGGTCGCTATGGGTCAGAACTGACTCAATGGCACTTAACAACAACAACATTTTAATTAAAAAAACGACTTTGTGGAACCAAATCACTTCTTCGAGATTGGAGAAGAACCATCATGAGTTACTATAACCCCTGTGTGCATACATTATGGTGTTTTTTCTTCATAAAATCATTACGAGTCTTGAGTAAATGTCATGCTTGAATTTCACACATTTTACGTTTCCTTAACAAAGATTGCAGTCCAGACAACACCGGAAACTCTACTTTCTTTAGAGAAGCTTATTTAAACTCAGAAGTATTAGCATAATCGTGACCCACAAACTAGTCTTGGGCCTTGGCAAATTTTGTCTCTTAAAACATGTTTGACCCTGAGGTGTTAATGGTTGTTGTTAGTGGTTAGATGCCATGGAATTGGTTCCTACTCATAGGGACCCTATGAACCACAGAAGGAAACACTGCCCCGTCCTGTGCCAACCTCACAGTCATTATGTTTGAGCCCATTGCTGCTGCCACTGTGCCAATCCATCTCATTGGGGGGGTCTTCCTCTTTTTCCCTGATCCTCCACTTTACCAAGCATGATGTCCTTCTTCAGGGACTGGTCCCTCCTGTTAACATGTCTGAAGTATGAGCAACCAAGTCTGACCATCCTAGTTTTTAAGAAACATTCCTGGCTGTTCTAACACTGATTAATTTGTTTGTCTGACAGTCCATGGTATTTCTCAGTATTCTTCTCCAACACCATAATTCAAATGCATCTGTTCTTCTACAGTCTTTATTCATTGTCCAACTTTCACATACATATGAGGAAATTGAAAATACCATGGCTTGGGTCAGGCACACCTTAGTCTGACATCTTTGCTTATGAACAGTTTAGAAGTGTTTTGTTCAGCAGATTTGCCTAATGCAATACGTCGTTTGATTTCTTGACTGCTGCTTCCGCAAGCATTGTCTGAATCCAAGCAAAATCTGACAACTCCCAATCTTTTCTCCACTTATCATGTTATTCAGTAGTCTAGGCATGAGGATTTTCATTTTCTTTACATTAAAGTGCAATTCATACTGAAAACTGTAGTCTCTGAAGATCCTGAAAGCTTAACTCCATTCACATCATTAAGGTCAACTCCTGGTAATATGTCCAGATTAGGAGAGATGACGTCATGTCTTACCATCATAACTTCTAAGGAGCGTTTTGACTGCACTTCTAAGACAGATTCATTTGTTGTTGTTTTTTTGCAGTCTATGGTATATTAAAAATTCTCCGATAGCACCATGATTCAAAGGCATCAATTCTTGGATCTTCCTTATTCACTGTCTAGCTTTCTAATGCCTATGAAGTGTTTGAAAATACCATGGCTTGGGTTAGAAACACTTTAGTCTTCAAAGTGACCTCTTTGCTTTTTATTACTTTAAAGAGAGTTTTTAGCAAATTTGCCCATTGCAAGATGTTATTTGATGTCTTGACTGCTGCTTCAAGATTAATTGATTATAGATCCATGTAAAATGAAATCCTTGACAGCTTCAAATCTTTTCTTCATTTATAATGATGCTCCTTACTGGTCCAGTTGTGAGGATTTTACGTTTTCTTTAAATTACTCTGTATTGAGTAGTGAGGTCTTCTTAAAGAACTCTGCATATTTCCATAGTGAGTAATCAGACTTGATTAATACATATATTTGAAACAGAGTTGGAAGAAGTACAGCCAGAATGTTCCTTAAAAACTACGATGGCCAGACTCGGTTGCTCCCTTACTTGATAACAGACTTTTGTATTATTTTCTTTAAAATGCGGCATTAATAATAACCTAAATATAGCGTGGTTAGTTAATAATGCTAACAAAAAAATATATAGGTATTTGGTGGGAGAAGAGTCAATATACTAACTTTGAAATATTTGTTATACAGGATTATCAGAACCGTCCTCTATTGCAAAACATGAAGACAGATTGTTTAAGGATTTATTTGAAGACTACGAAAGATGGATCCGTCCTGTGGAACACATGAATGACAAGATAAAAATAAAGTTTGGTCTTGCAATATCTCAACTAGTAGATGTGGTAGGTGTGCATATCATTATATAGTCAATTTCACACAAGATTTGTTGAGGACCTATTTTGTGCCCAACACTGTGTTAGGCACTGAGGATTACATAGACGAATAAGACATATTTCTTTCCCCCAAAGAAATCGTCTTGGAAATCAATTATTATGCCAAGGACCCCATGTTTATATGATGCTGTGTATTTTGTTTTATCTCATTTAATGATTACAATAGGTCTATTAATGGAACAGGAGTCCTAGTGTGGCACTGTAGAATATGCACCGGACTGCTATATGTAAAGTCAGTGGTTCAAACCCACCAAGTGCTCCTCGGAAACCCTATAAACGGTCACTGTGAGTTGGAACTGACTCCATGGAACTTAACAACAATTAGTGTAACAACCAAGAATTGTTGGTGGCACAGTGGTTTAATCACTTGGTGCCAACCAGAAGGTTGGTGGTTCAAATCCACCAACCACTCCATGGGAGAAAAATGTGGCAGTCTGCTTCGGTAAAGATTGACAGTTTAGGAAACCCTCTGAGAAAGTTCTATGCAATCCTCTAGGGTTACTATGAGTCAAAACTGACTTGAAGGCAACAGGTTTGGTTTGGTTTATTGTTAATAAATATAAAGATGCTGTTGTTGTTGTTAAGTGCTGTCAAGTTTGTTCTAATTCATAACCACCCTGTATAGGGTTTCTGAGGAGTGGCTGGTGGGTTTGAACTGCCAACCTTGTGGTTAGTGGTCCAGGGCTTATCCTACAGTGTCCTACCAGAACACCAAAGATATTAAGCATTTTATATTGAAGTGTCTTCTGAAGTGTGTTAAAAATATGATTTAAGTCAGAAAGTGAAAGAGAAAAAGTCCAAGAACAGAGCCATAGATTCTTAAAGCCAAAAATGATCTCAAAAGACCATTGCCTCAATATCACACTTCAGACATGTCAGAGATTTTTCCATAGGCTAGTCACCAAGGAGAACAAGTTCCCTTGAGAACTCCAATTGTCAAGAGATTGTTGCTATTTAAACTAAAAAGTTCACACTAGTTTCTAAACTAGTTTCTTCTTGTTTTGATCATGTCAATGATCAAATCCTGCTGCGTTCCCAAAATACTCAACGAATATTTACATATATATTTAAAAATAGTATTTATAGGTGTGCCTTTATTTTCTGATTAGAGAAGCAATGTATATTTGTAGAAAATTTGAAAAATGCAGAAAAATACAAATAAGAAAATTAAGAATGGACCAATTCTACTACACTGAGGTGTCTAGTGTTAACATTTTGTTTTTCTTTTTTGCTCGCTTTTGCTTTGTGTGTATGTTACATCATTGGAATATTATTTTAATATAATTTTGATTATTGCTTTTTTCACTACAGTTCCATGATGATCATTTTCCTATGTTGTTACATTATCTTCAGATATAATTTTTAATGGCTACATGATATTTCATTTATAGTTTATTTACATATTCTCTCATTGTTGGCAGAAGCTTGTTCCCAAGTTTTCTTATTATAAATGGCAATTATAATAATATGTCTTGAGTTTCTACTTTAAGAAAGGCAGCAAGTCAAAAGCTAGACATTTTAAAAATTTATAGCTTTATATATATGTCAGCTCTCTCTATATAGCATCTAATTGTTTTCAGAAAAGTCAATATGTATATAGTAACTGTGTTCTCACTTAGGGGTGAGTACACAGTTAATGTGTACTCACATTACGCAATATGGAGAGATTGAAATACAAATAGGAAAGTGGGAAGGGATGTAAGTGGGACTTGCCCTCAAAGATCACCTCTTTTTGTTGTTGTTGTTAAGTTCCATGGGGTCAGTACTGACCCATAGAGACCCTGTGTACGGTTTCCAAGGAGTGGCTGGTGAGCTTGAACCAATGCCCTTGCGGTTCAAACTGACTTTGCAGTCCAGCGCATTAAGCCACAGTGCCACACGAGGACTCCACTCTCTTTTTAGTTGGGGATATTAAACAGTAATTACAGAACACTACCATGCTGAATTGTGATGACAATGAGCCCAGAGCTTGATAACTGAGCTTGTCAAAGAACACTGGATGGAAGAGATGGAAGTTGACCTGGCCTATAGGATGTATGGGGTTAGACATGGCAGAACGGAAAACTATTTCTCCCAGAAGGGACAGTAGAATCAGAGGTATACGAGTGCAAGTGATACGGAGCCTCTCATTGTTGACCTGCTTAGATCACAAGATTAACGTTTTGGAAGCCCAGCTAGATGGGAATGGTGTGACTGGGTGGTGGCAAGGAGTGAGTCCTGATTGCCACTGTACCTTTGTTCTTGCCACATCTTCTACTTGGAGAACTGGCCTTTTCAGTTCAAGCCATTTGTTCTTCAAGGTCAAATTCATTTGTCAGACCCTTTATGAAATCTTTCCAGCCTCCCTAAGAAGTCTCTCCTTTACCCTTTACACTGACTGGTATTCATGTGCTGTGACATCGCAGCCTCAACGTAGAGTTGGCTTCATTCCTCATATCTGTGCCAGAACCTAATGTCAGACACATAGTCAATCCCAAATGAGCGGGAGATCTGACAGGCAGCAGACATGGGAAATCAAGGAGGCAGTAATATCCAGGGTAACTTTACGAACTGAAAGAGAGACTAGAAGATTGGAAGGCAGGTGAGAAGACGAGGTAGAAGAACGAATAGGACTTGACCATTGAATCTAGTGGGAGTTGTCAAAGGTGGTGCCACATTTTGAAGCCTAGCTGATTAGAAGGGAAAATTAACCAAAATTTGAAAGGTTGTTGAGGAGGGAGAGAAGAAGGTGATGTGTTTGGCTGTGATTTGGAGTGATTGTGGTACATTCAAAAGGAAATTTTCAGTTAGTTCTTGAGTCAGAACTGGCTCTGAAGTGAGAGATGAAGCTAAGGATGGCAACTTGGAATTGCTGGCCTGTGTGTGTGTATGTGGGATTGTTGAAAGCTTTGGATTGATGGAGCTTTAAAGTAAGTGTGGTGGGCAGGATCCTGGTCTTGGAGGAACATTCACAGGAAATAGTCAAAGGAAGAGAAGCCGAGCCGAGAAGTCCAGGAAAGGTGGTTTCTTGAGAGATGGTGGTGGTATGTGATGGCGTTGTTTCGACTCATAATGACCCCATTTAGGGATTCTGAGGCTGTAAATATTTATGGAAGCAGAAAGCCTCATTTTTCTCCTGCGGAACAGCTGGTAGTTTTGAACTGCTGGCCTTAAGGTTAGCAGCCTGATTCATAACCACTATGAAGAGCTCAGAAAATGTAATGCCAGCGAATACGACAGGGAAGGAGGGCTGGCAACAGGAAGATGGGGGCCGAGGGGATTGAGAACAGGAGAGTCTCTGAGTTTCTAAACTGTTTTATGTTCTTTTGTCTCTAAAGCAAATTTCCTCTCAACCCTGTAATCATGCTTGATTCCTATCTGATTTTCTCCGTGTGTTCTCTCTTTCTCTCTTAAAAACAAACCAACCCAGTATTTCGTTTGTTTTGGTTTTGTCTTTATGACCAGATTAAAAATCTGTTCTCTCTAAAACCTTTCTGCTAAACTGTGGGTGTTTAACCTTGCTCCATTTATTTGTGGTTTGGTTTTCCTTGTTGTCTTACATTTGTCCTTACTCTCTTTCCTTTTGTTACAGATTCCTTTGTGCTGAGCACATTAGAGATGCTTAGGGAATACCTGAGGTCCCCTTAAATTAGGCTATATTCCCTTCAGGTTATAAATAGCTCCCACATCTTTGGGGCCAATTGAGAATTTATGGATTATTCTTTTATCTGTGTTACTGTTGAAAATAAGTATTCGAGTCTTGGTGTGGTACTGTAGGATAAACACTCAATGGGTAGGTTGGTTTGAACAGCAGGGTCGGTGGTTAAAAATCACCAGCTGCTCCTTGGAAACCCTATACAGGGTCACTATGGATCAGACCTGACTCTACAGCACTTAACAACAACAACCCATAGAGTGGAGTCCTGGTGTAGCACTGTGGAGTAAAGCACTGGGCTGCAAGGTTGGCGGTTCAAACTCACCAGCCACTCCTCAGATACCCTGTACAGGGTCACTATGAGTTGGAACCAACTCAACAGCACTTAACAACAACAACAACCTATAGAGTACAATTTTATGTGTTTGGATTTTTCTGAGAAAGAGTCCATAACCTTCACCAGGCTCAAGATGACTCACATCGAAATCGTAGGTGATTTGTTTACCAGAATGGTCCTAGGTATTGATGTTGCTCTGTAGAACTTCTATCAAATGGTCATATTCTGATCTAGGGGTCAGATGTATGATTTCAGGGTGGACAGTGGACCTAGTGGAGTGGGGTTGGGATTTAGGAGATTTGAGTCCTTACACTGTCCTACCACTGATGGGTGCTGCGATTTTGGACACATCACCTCACTGGACCCCAGTTTCTGTGTCTGCAGAACAAAGAGGTTTCAGTAGCTAAATCTCTAAGTCGTTTCCAGCTCTTCTATTTTAAGCAGGGCAAACTGCTCATTGGGACTGTGGCACAAGAGGGTCGCCTGTGGGTTACCCTTGCAGTTCGTTACAGTGGTGTGGTTCTTACACTAGTCTTCTCATGTGGGGACCTCACAAAGCTGCCTTTGGCCCTAGGGATGTGCTCCCTTCCAATCTCCTCCTTTCTGTTGTGGATGAGGAGTGGGTAAAATCCAGTCAGCTAAGCGGTTTCTATGGAATCCTCATAGGAATGGCTTCAGACTTCTGTGGGTCTCTGTGCTTAGCAGTGAGCCCTGTTGTTGTTGTTGTTGTCAAGTTGGTTCTGACTCATAGAAACCCTGCCATATCTTTATTTGTGCTGTTTCCTAGATATAGGGCTTCTGAGGCTGGAAACCTTTGCGAGAGCAGAAAGCCTCATCTTTTTCCTGCAGAGTGGTTGGTGGACTTGAACTGCCAACCTTGTGGTTCACAGTCCAGTGGTTATTCTACAGAGCCACCGCGCTCCCTGCAATGAACCCTCCATACAGTATCTGTGGTGAGTGGTTATGATGACCTTTTGCCGACATGTTGTTGTTGTGGTTAAGTGACATTGAGATGGTGCCAACTCATAGCCACCCTGTATAGGGTTTCCAAGGAGCAGCTAGTGAGTTTGAACCACCGACCTTGCAGTTCAAACTGACTTTGTAATGCAGTGTTTATATTTCAGTGAAATGTAATGAGAGAGATGTCATTTTTTTAAATTAGACCTTGAAAATGTGGTGAGGGACTAGAGTAATCAAAGAGAGAGCAGCAGAAGGGTGTATGCCGTGAGTCCTAAGGAAACCCGGTTTCCCAGAAAAGTAGTGTCTGAAAGTTTTGTGAAATTGGCATTTAAGGTTATAGTCTCAAGATATTTTCTATATGGCAGCCCCACAGAAAGACTTGCAACTCATGCCTCAGCAGAGGCAAATGACTACAACTTATAGTGCCTCGGGAATACACAGAAGTGCTGTATCTCACTGATTTTCTAGTGTACACTGCCTCTCACTTTGTTGTTAAATGCTGTCAAGTCGGTTCTGACTCATAGCAACCCTGTATACAGTTTCTGAAGGCAGCTGGTGAACTTGAACTGCTGACCTTGCGTTTCAAACTGACTTTGCAGTCCAGCACACTAACCCACAGCGCCAAACCAGGACTCCCAGCGCCTCTGAAATCAAAATGTGTCTTATAATTAATAACAGTTTACAATTCATTTACAGCCTTTCTTTGTATTCATTCTTTCCTTTCTCTCTCTCTCTTTCTTAGTGGTGGTGGTGGTGGTGTGCCGTGAAGTTGGTTCCCACTCATAGTGACCCTGCATAGGGTTTCCAAGGCTGTCCATCTTTACAGGAGCAGAAAGCATCTTTCTTATAACTCAGTACATGAATAATGCTGTGCTTACTTATATCTTAGATGGCATCTTAGATTTGATGAAATACATTCCTAGTTGACGTCATGAATGTTAAATCTCAAAATGCTAATGGTGGGCTTTCGGGAAGCTTATCGAAAATACCAATATGCTAACAAATAAATCATGTGGAATTAGAGTGGAAAAAAGATCTGATTTTTCCACAGAACCAGAATGAGACATAGAAAGAATAGATGTACTACATTTTAGAGAGGAATGTGTTCCATAAAACTGTAAATGTTTTCATTAAAAGAAGTATTGTTTCTTTCTGTAACAGAAATAATCAGCCTTGTTACATTTTTTTGTTTTGTAGGATGAGAAAAATCAGTTAATGACAACAAATGTCTGGTTGAAACAGGTATGTAGAAAATTAAAAGGGGCTTAGCGCCACTGTTTTAATGACAGGCCTTATAGCACTAAGGGGTCGACAGGACGTGGAAAGATGGGGTAAACAGAGTTCCTGTATTCATTCAGCTGATGTGCTTCTGGACTCCTGGGATGGCACTGTGGAATCAGCACTGGACTGCAAACTGCAAGGTTGGAAGTTCAAACCCACCAGTTGCTCCTTGGAAATCCTATACAGGGTCACTATAGGTCAGAACTGACTCAATGGCACTTCACAACAACTTAACAACTATGTTTCAGTATTGTTGTGGACACTGATGAAGCAATGAATGAAACAGAAAAATCCCTGCCCTCAGGAGCTTCAGTCTAGTGGGGGAACAGTGCTTTAGAGAGGCTTGGATAAAACACACTGGGAAAGAGGATAAGGAATGTTCCATCCTAATGCTGTAGAGTCAATTTCAATTCATATTGACTCAATAGGACAGAGGTGTTGTTGTGAAGTGCTGTCCAGTTGATTCCGACCCATAGCGACCCTTTATAGGGTTTCCGAGGAGAAGCTGGTAGAACCACCTTACTAGGGTTTCCAAGGCTGCACATCTCTAGGGAAGCCAAATCATTCTTTCTTGGAGCAACTGGTGGGTTCAAACTGTCAAGCTTTCAGTTAACAGCCAAGCATCAGGGCTCCCTATAGGGAGTGGTGGGAGCTGTATTCTACAATAGGATGATTAAGTTAAATATCACTGAGAAGGAAAGGTTTGAATGAGGAGAGTATGCAAGCCGTGTAGCTTCTGGAGGAAGAATGTTCTAGGAAGAGGGACCAGCAAGGGCAAAGGCCTTGGGGCTGCAGAGTGCCTAGTGTGTTTAAGGTATAGCAAGAGGCCAATGTGCCTACAGGGGATTGAGTCTTGAGAGTGGAGGAGAAAACCCACAGGAGGCAGATGGCGTGGCACCTCCTAGGCCACTGCGCACGCTTTTGCTTCATATTCTGGGCGAGATGGAAATGCAATGATGAATGTTTTATAGAGATAGTCCCTTATTGTATAAAGGACTACCCTGCGCCCACTACCTAAACCTTTTCTACTCAACAAAGTGGTTCACTTTGTTCTTTCTTTTCTTATCTCTAATTTTTGTACCTACAAGTTCCTTAAACCCAAAGTCCTAATAGGCATGTATGTTTTTCTTGGGGTACGATTCAAACTTGGTATGTTACAGAATTATGACTGAGTAGCCATTGGCCAAGGTGTTTAAAGATCTCGAATATGTAATAAATCCAATACCCTCTAGCATGGAACTGTCCAGCACAGTCAGGCAGCAATGCAGCTGGAAAAGAGAACATTTCTCCTGTTTCTGGGACTTAGATTTTCATGTCTGCAACTCCTGTGCATTGTCAGTTCCTGGTAGCAAAGGTCGGAGCAGAGCTACTGCATGCACAGAGCTTTAGCACTGTGGTCACTAAACCTTTCACGTGAGGTGACAGGGTTATGGTCTAGTACTCCTAAGATAGAGGTGAGTTTTCCCTACTAGGGGGTAGACTCCTGCCTAAAAGTTCTGTGTTCTCAGTATTTTTGCCAATTTTATTGAAATTGAGGTAGGTTTCTTTTATTTTAAAGGAGTGGATAGATGTCAAATTAAGGTGGAGCCCCATGGACTATGGTGGGATAAAAGTTATCCGCGTCCCTTCAGACTCTCTCTGGACCCCAGACATTGTCTTGTTTGATAAGTAAGTTATATTCTAAATAGAGTTTTGTGTTTTCAGAAGAAAAACTTGCATCAATATTAGTCAATAGTGGTTTTCTTTTCTCTTTTGAAAATTGTCTAGCTGTCAAAACAGTTGACTTGATCTTATGTTTTTTTGTTTCAGAAACCTGCACATAGGTTTTACAGATCCTCCCCCTTTTTTGGTGTATTGTTTTCTGATCAGAAAAGTGTTCTTTAACTTGCAAAATTTGTCAATCATTTGGGAAGTACCAAAAGGTATAAGAAGTAGGGGAGAAACCATCATAATTAACCCCACTACCCCATTACTTAAGGAGCTCTGGTAGCGTAGTGGTTATGAATCAGGCTGTGAACCTTAAGGTCAGCGGTTCGAAACTACCAGCTGCTCCGCAGGAGAAAGATGAGGCTTTCTACTCCCATAAAGATTTACACCCTCGGAAACCCTGTACAGGGTCGCTATGGGTTGGAACCGACTCGACGGCACTTAACAACAACAACAACAACAACAACCCCATTACTTAGAGGCTACCACTACTATTAAGGAGCTCTGGTAGTGTAGTGGTTACGAATCGGGCTGCTAACCTCAAGGTCGGCAGTTCAAAACTACCAGCTATTCTGCGGGAAAAAGATGAGGCTTTCTGCTCCCATAAAGATTTACAGCCTTGGAAACCCTGTACAGGGGCACTATGAGTTGGAACCAACTCCACGGCACATAACAACAACAACCACTACTATTTATTAGCTTACACATGTGCTCGGCAATGTGCAGGATGCCTCATGTCCTTAATTTCATTCCATTCTCACAGTCCCCTCAGGAGAGGTGTACTGTTGACGCAGCTGCTTCATAGATGAGGAAACAGACTTAGGGCAGTTACACTTTGTCTAAGACCACACAGCTAACATGTGTTAGAGTTGGGGTTCCAACCATGTCATCATCATTTACTGGACTATATATTTGACAAACTTCCTTCCAGGTTTGCCTTTTTATTGCATTTCTTACATACTTGAGACTATATTCCACATCCAAATATGCACCCTTAAAATTGGGCTTTGTAATTTACCCACAATAAGGAATGTTGGGTTAATTATTAACTCATAGGCATCTTACTTAGATATGTTTTCAGGATTTTTTTCCCCTGTAATTTAGGGCAAATCTGTGAATTTATGCTTATCCTAAACCACTTTGTCGTATTTGCAAGGAAGCATTTGGCATGAGGACAAAGCAAAGATTGCCCCAGAATATCTTTAATCATTTTAAGCCTTTTACCACCATGCTTCATGCTAAGTCAGGGGTGAACATATTTATAAGGTAACATGATGCTGCTTCCTGGAGCACGATATTACTTTAAGTAATTGGAAACACTTTTATATTAGTATAGATACATTACAGAGCAACGTGAAAATTTCACATCCTTCTGAGATAAAGAGAGATGCATCAAAGAAATCATATGTTTGGGGTGGCATTTCTTGTTAGGCATGAATTCTCCAGTACATGAATTCACTTGTTGGGAGAATGGGAGAGGCGCTGCCATTTCTCACACCCACTTTGGTGCAAATGCTTTTTTCCTGTCAAAGCAGAAAACATCCAGTATTTGTGATGCAGGGGAAGAACACACTGAGCTGCGTGTCTAGGAGGGCACTTGTCTGTTACATGAATAACTCAATTACATTTCATGTGTAAAACAAGTTCTTTCCAACCACTAAAATCTTAGGATTCTGTGAAATAGAGATTTCGTAGTGCTCGAGTATGTGGAGTGTTCAGTTCATGCTAGAATTAGATATTTAAGGAAGACGTCGCTAAAGCAGGCATCCCTTATGTGTCGCAGGTACATTTTAGGTTTAATAATTTAAAAACTATCTCATGCTTTTAACGATAGGCTTTCTTGTATGTTAGCCTTGTAGCATGCCTACTAGGGTTGCTGTTTCTGCATTGTGATTTGTGTGTGTGTGTGTTTCAGTGCAGATGGACGTTTCGAAGGGGCCAGTACGAAAACGGTTGTCAGGTACGATGGCACTGTTACCTGGACTCCACCGGCAAACTACAAAAGCTCCTGTACCATAGATGTCACCTTTTTCCCATTTGATCTCCAAAACTGTTCCATGAAATTTGGTTCTTGGACTTATGATGGATCCCAGGTGGATTTAATTTTAGAGGACCAAGATGTAGACAAGAGAGACTTTTTTGATAACGGAGAATGGGAAATTTTGAGTGCAACAGGAAGCAAAGGAAACAGAACTGATAGCTGCTGCTGGTACCCATACATCACTTACTCATTCGCCATTAAGCGTCTGCCTCTCTTTTACACCTTGTTTCTTATTATACCCTGTATCGGACTCTCCTTTCTAACGGTACTTGTCTTCTATCTTCCTTCAAACGAAGGGGAAAAGATTTGTCTTTGCACTTCGGTACTTGTCTCTTTGACTGTCTTCCTTCTGGTGATAGAAGAGATAATACCTTCATCTTCCAAAGTAATACCTCTGATTGGAGAGTACCTGGTGTTTACCATGATTTTTGTGACATTATCAATTATGGTAACAGTCTTCGCTATCAACATCCATCACCGTTCTTCCTCAACACATAATGCAATGGCACCTTGGGTCCGCAAGATATTTCTCCACAAGCTTCCCAAACTGCTTTGCATGAGAAGTCATGTAGATAGGTACTGCACTCAGGAAGAGGAAACTGAGAGAGTTCGTGGACCGCAGTCTTCTAGAAACACACTGGAAGCTGCACTGGATTCTATTCGCTATATTACAAGACACGTCATGAAAGAGAATGATGTTCGCGAGGTCTGTGGCAAGTTGTATTCACAAATGCAGATGCTAATATTCCTGTGCTTGCATTTTAAGTTCACAAGTGACGTGAATCATTTTTGACAGAGTAAATGGCATGCTCCTTAAGCATAAATTGAGGGCCAGACAGGTCAACACACTGTTCTATAAAGATACATGCAAAACGAGGCATGCACTTCTCAATTTCCCCATCAGCATCTTTGATGCCTTTAAAGAGAATTTAAGTTGCGCTGGCTGTTCTGTTATTCTGAAGAATAGTAATCTTGCATTGGATTCTCTGACTTTGACAGGATATATTGTTTTTCATCGTCACCAATGTAGTTTCTTAATTCTGCTTTATAATTTATTAAGTTATTTTATTTTTGTAGAATGAGCCTAATTTAGGATTTATAAATATAGCCGATATTTTCCCAGAAAAAAATGTTTTTCTGATTTAAGTGAAAGAGAAGTGAGATGTTCACAAGGTTGGTGGTTCCAATCAATCAGCTGCTCCATGGAAATTCTATAAAGGTTTTAACTGACTTGACAGCTCTTAACAACAGCAACAACATAGGTATATTTTAATTGTAAGAATTGAGTATTAACAAGTCTTATAATGTGCTCATATTTGACTAGATTTTTATTTTAAAGCATGTAAAATTTCAATCTTGCCTCTATTCTTTATTTATATTGTGTAATATTTTTAAAGTTAATGACAATACAAATGCTTTTATAATTGAATTTACTTTCAAAGAGTCCCATTAGATTCTGTGAATTCCAATTTCTACAGTTTTTTTTTAAAATGGAAAATATGAGTAGGTAGAAACATCAGACAAGACAGACCAAATGAAGCAATACCCCTCTTTCCAAAAGGAATATTTGGTATGCTTACAGACATTTTTTATTTGGTGGTTGTAAATGGAATAAATTCATTTGTACAGTGTGAGGCTATCAAAGGAGCCTTTAAAAATACAAATATTCATTACATTATGACTTAGATTGAGATGGAATTTAGTAAGTGTCTCTACAGTACTGTGCAAAAATTCAGGGCTCATACTATTAGGGTGTGGCACAGATATAAAATGCTCCCCCCTTCCAGGGGTAAAATTTAGAAGGGAAGAAGTAATAAGAGGTGTATAATGCCTGAATTTATTATATCCCACAACTTTGGACCTCAAGGTCTGTGGTTCAGAATCACTAGCTGCTTTTCGAAATCCCTATACAAGGTCACTATGGGTTGGAGCCAACTCGATGGCACTTAACAAAAACAACAACTTGGACACAGTTCCTGTAGAGGAGCCACACACTTTATTAAGGGGCAAGGAAATGGCTTTGTGGAAACAGAAGCTTCCAACACTCCAAAGTTGGTCTCAGCAGCCCTCCCACAAGGTAACTAACTGGCTGAGCCGGCTCCTTGCTAACGCTGTGAAGAGGGCAGCAGATGAGCCCCAGGGCCACCAGCTCTGCTCTCCACAGGTGTAGACACCCTGAGGAGTGACTGGTGGGTTTGAACTACCCACCTTGCAGTTCAAACTGATCTTGTGGTCCAATGCTTATCAGGACTCCGACTACAGTGGTTGTTGTTGTTGTCAGGTGCCATCGAGTCGGAACTGACTCATAGCGACCCCATGCACAGCAGAACGAAACAACGTCCAATCCTGGGCCAACCTCACTACCACTGCCACACTTGACGCCATCAATGATGCC